ACTAAATAAGGCAGAAAGACCCTAAATAACGCCAAAAAACAGTCAAAATTAAGCAGAAAACTAATAAGATAAAGCAAAAAAAAACTAAAGGCAGAAAGACCATAAATAACGCCGAAAAACAGTCAATATTAGGCAGAAAACTAATAAGATAAAGCAGAAAAACACTAAATAAGGCTGAAAAAACACTCAAATAAAGCAGAAAATGCATAAGATAAAGCAGGAAAACACTAAGAAATACAATAGAAAAACACTAAAATAAAGCTGAAAAACACTCAATGCAGAATATTAATAAGATAAACTGAAAAAACACTATTAAGCAGAGAAACTCTAAAGCAAGCAGAGAACACTATAATAAAGCACAAAAACTCAACATAAAGCAGAAAAACACCAAACCAAAGCTAAAAAGCCCTCAAATAAAGCAGAAAATTAATAAACCAGAAAAACAATCAAGCAGAAAAATACTCAAATAAAGCAGAAAAACTCAACATATATCAAATAAACACCAAACAAAAGCTAAAAAACATTAAAATAAAGCAGAAAACTACCTAAATGAACCCGAAACACAAAAAAAAAAGCAGAAAAATACGCAAATAAAGCAGAAAAACACTCAAATAAAGCTGAGAAACACTCAAAAACGTCAGGAAAACTCAAATAAAGCAGAAAAACACTCAAATAAAGCTGAGAAACACTCAAAAACGTCAGAAAAACTCAAATAAAGTAGAAAAACACTATAATTCAGCAGAAAAACTCTAAATAAAGCACCTTAAAAGGGCCACACGAGCAGTAAAAACCAACCCGACCGCCTCCTATTCCAGAAATGTGACCATTAGCCTCTCAATCTGCAACAGAAAGGAGTCTTTATACGTTCTTTCTTCCTAAAGTTCATAAAACTGCAGCGGTTCCGTGCAGATAAAGCCGCCTTTTTTTTTTTTTTTCTTGTTATTTTTGTTTTATTTATTTACTTATTTATTTATTTTTTGCTCTTACTGGTTTTTTTTTATTTTTTTATTATTATCTTTGAGTTTGTCTGGTGTTGTGGTGATGATTGTGTTTTATGATCTGCTCAAATGACCTGTACAGCTTAGCTTTGATTTTAGCTTTGGCTGACTGAAAGCGCTTTATAAATAAAGTTGAGTTGAGTTGAGTTGACCCTGCAGTAAAAAAATCGATAATAGAAAAAGTCCACAATGAATTCCATTGTCGACTATTGTCGCCAGACGTGTTTTTCCAACAGAGTGAGACATCTCACTTAATTAATTAATTAATTATCTGCCCAGAGTCACCTGCACAACAGCGGTTACAGAAATGGCGGCGTCCAACACGCGTACAAAAACTTCCAACGTTTGGGAGCATTTTATCCTTGATACAACGAGTAAAAAAAAATTACG